TATTTAAAGAACTTAAAATACAAATCTGGATTTAATTGGCTAATCTGGAGATTATTTTAGATCCGGTCGGATTGTACCCAAAATCAATTTGAAGGTATTTCTAAATGCTGCAGTAAATCGGTCATGTTTTAGAAGAAACGTCTCCGTTTAGTTCTGAAAGACGAGTCCAAGTTCGGCGGTCGACCTCAGAAAAACGCGCTAACAAAAGAGAGGAGAAGAAAAAGGCTGATGCTGTGTGTGTGTGTCAGTGTGTGTCGGTGTGTGTGTTTGAGAGAGACGGTTTCAAGGCTCCCCTTCCCTTTCGCTCGTTCGCCCTCGCTGCCTCTCTCTGACACACACACAGGAACACACACACCCGTTTTCACGCTTCACCACCAGCACTTTCTCTCTGTGCGGATGCACGCTCGCTCGCCCAGCGCTGCACTCAGAAGGAGGAAGACGAGGAAATCAATTAGTGTTTCTCGTCTTCTCACCTCCTCCTCTTCCTCACGTCTCCCCTGACGCTCCGTTAAGCCTACGCTAAATCATCTTAAAACACGCAAAAAATGATCAATATTCAATACTTTTCTGACGTAACTTTAACCTAATGAATGATAAAGTGCTGTTTTAATTAATCACTCCTAAATGTACCTTTCAGGAATTAATTATTGCTTGAAATTAAGAGATTTTTGTGTCAAATGTATGTTAAATGGTGCAGCAGTGCCTTCTAGTGGAGCACAGAGGGAATGTAAATATTCAGTTATTGGCTGGTGTGTGTGTGTGTGTGGGGGGGGGGGGGAGGTGTGTGTGTGTGTGTGTGTGTGTGTGTGTGTGTGTGTGTGTGTTTGAACAAAAACCAACCAGAGAGCAAATTGTTCACAAACTTCTCTCCGAAATATCGATTTGAGCTCCACCTGCTGGACAAGACTCGGTATTACATTAATAAAAACAGGCTTTAAGATTCAACGTCCAAGTTTAACGCTTCTTCTTTTAACAAAGCTGTGGCTCCATGATGGCACAGCGCCCCCTAGCTGAGCAGCATCCAGAGGACTGTGTTTTCTGGAAGAGACGTGCCTGTGCAGCAACACACACACACACACACACAGGAAATCAGGACGGCGCTCTGCCTGTGTGAGAGGAAATTAGACCACCTCATTATTCAAATTAGCTCAGAGGAAAAGCGAGTCGTTCGCCTCGTTTACGCCTCAACAGATGGAGAGATCTGTCACTCTTCCTCTTCGTCTCCTCGTTCTGTCATCCTACTCTGCTCCTCCGTTTATCTGGCTGTTTCCGTCAGGATTTCCCATCATGCATCATGTCCCTCACAATCAGCACTTGTTGTGAACCTTGACCTCCATCCTGATGGCGGCGTGTCCATCTGACTTCAGTGAAGCTGATGGTGATGTGGTTCTGGAGGCACCTTTGACCCCTGACCTTTCGTTCTATAAACTCAGCGTACTGATTGGTCGTTTCTCCTGGTTAATTGCTCCATTTCCCGCTATCAGAATGGATGCTAGCATGTTTCCTGAGCTGAGCGGCTAGAGAAGAAGAGGAGACAAATGACTGTCTCCTGTTGGTTCGGGACAGAGAGCGCCCTCACATGGAAGATAAGTGTAGTTGTACACAGTGGTAAAATCCAGCGGCTCCTCTGGGCTGTAGCGCCTCTAGTGGCCTCTGAAGGAACTGCTGCAGCTTTTTACATGAACTGATTGATCAAAAGCCAAACCTTCAGCACAGCGAACCACCCAGCTGTCACTCAAAGCACAGGAACCACGGCAACCATGCAGGAGGCAAATCTGAAAGGTGATCATCTGAGGGAGGGTGATTGTCATGGAAACGAGGCCTGACCTTTAACCTGACTTATTCCTTCACACACATTTACACACCAATCAGAGCAGGAGTGTGTGTGTGTTCCTTCTCTAACCTTGTCTCACACACACACACCCTGTAGCTGTGATCTGTGTCACCACAGCGCCCCCTGCTGATTGCTGCTGTAATTGCTGCAGTTTCAATTTAATCAATTAAATTAAAACATTTTAAATATTATTTAAGTTAAAATTTAAATTAGAATGAATAATGGTTTAATAATAAGTATATTTTAAAAAGACTAGAAATCCTGATTAATGTGATTTTTGTTGTCAAACATCCAGAACCAGAACATCAGCTGAACTGAGAGTCCAGTAGAAATGAACCGACTCTCAGTAGAACCAGGTTTGGATCACAGAGTTAGAACCAAACTGCTGCTGCTCGATGTTAAATACCTCCTGGTTCATTGTGGTCACTTATTAAAATTAGATTTGAGTAAATTTATTAATTTGACTCTTGAAATTCTGGATCAAACTTCTCAAACTTATTCTTATTGTTGATGGATCCTAATCTGACTCTTGAATTACTGTTCTGACTGACAAATAAACATCAGTCTGTTGATTATTACTGACTTTTTAATCAGGTTTACTGAAAGGTTTTTGTGAGCTGCATAGGCTCCACCCACTTTCTGCAGACAGTTCAGATTTCATAGTCAAGCGCACCGATCGGCTTCGGTTTGAAAATAAAGCCACTGAGATGTTCTTCAGAACATTTTATTACCAAGAGGAACATTAAATAAAAACCATCCAGAGCTGAGAAGCAAATCAGACTCAAGTTGAAAAAAAAAATGCTTCATTAAATAATTTCTGTTTGGTTCTACAGGTTCTGATCGGCTGATCCAAACATTAGAAGGTGAATCAGTCTGAAAACGTCTTGAGTTCCTGTTCAAAGCAAACAGCTTCATCCATCAGAACGGTCCAGATGGAGGTTCTGGAGGATTATCTAGAGACGTTTGTGTGTTTCAGTCGCTTCGTTGCATAGTTTGAGTCCCCAGCATGAAATGACAGATAGACACTGGAAAAGTGCAGCAAACAGAGAGAACAGCAGCTTCCTCTGATGACCTTTAACCCCAACTATCACACAGGTAGGGTTAGCTTTAGCTCATTAGCTACAAACAGCAGACTAACCAGTTTGATCCGGTTGGTGCAGCTGGAAGCTGATGGTGTGTTTAAGGACACTTGTTCAGACATGAAGGCAAATTTAGCAGGAAGTCAAGCACAGCCTAATTTTTCCACATTTAACCTCGAACAGAAACACCAGAGGTCAAAGGTCGTCAATAATCTGGGTTTTTAATTAATGTGTTGGTGTTGGTTTTTGTAGGTAATGAGCTAAGCAGAACCACGTCACAACCGGACCGGGTCAGTTCCTGCAGCCTATCTCCTCCTTGTAGCGGTTCGTTAGCGTGTTAGCCTTCAGCGTGAGTTTGGACAGAACCGCCTGCAGTCCGTTCAGGTGGAAGTGGAACTGTTTCTCCAGGTCGTCGTCGTCCCCGGCCTCGCCGCGCTTCCCCTCGGCCTCGGGCCGCTCGTCGCCCAGGACGCCCCACTCCATGTTGTTCCGGATGGACTTGAGCAGGACGTAGGAGCTGTACATGTCTCCGTCCGGCTGGAAGTAGCCGTTGGTGGACGGGGCGGACTCCGGGACCTTCAGGTCCTCGCCGTCCTCCAGGGGACGTCCCGCAGCAGACTGGGCACCATCACTGTCTGGTCCATGTTGTTGACGGCGCCGATGAAGCGGCTCATGGCGGTAAAGAGCGAGTTCTTCTGGTTGTAGGAGTCTGATATCTGCATCATGGTGGACAGCTGATGTCCGCTGTGACCGCCCGGCGCCGTCCAGGACCAAACTTAGCCCGCTAATGCTCTTTGGGGGATTAGGATGGAGCTGGAGCCTGATCCCGGGTCAGGAGGGAGGAACTCGACGCGTGAGCCAGACTCTGTGCCAGGTCGGTCCTGCAGGACTTCAGACGCCCATCAGCCACCTGGAAACAAGCAGGAAGACATAATCCAGCCATTAATATTCTGGAATAATAATCCAGAACCAACATTCATCTGGAGGTTCAGATTAAACAACATGGCAGGAAAAAGCTGCTGCTTTTAATAAAACAAACTCTCTTCAAACTGTAAAACATCTTCAGCCTCTATTTAACTCTAAACATGAGAAGAATCATTAGAATCGGTTCGGCAGCCATCGGCTCTGAGGATCCGAACTGCTGATGAAATACAGGAACTGTCCGATGATGGAACCAGGATCACCCTGTGGGTTTTCAAAGCAAACATCCCCGAAAATCAGCAGAAAAAATTCACCAGAACCCCAGGATGTTCGGTTATCCTGGTCCAATTGAGCCTCCCGGAACATCTCTGCGGGGTTCGGGTCAGAACAGCCGATTCTGCTCCAGACCAGCGCTAATTCCGGGTCCCGCTATCTGACTCGCTAGCGCTGCATTAACCGGAAACCCCCCGCAGGTGGTCGGTCCGGAGAGCTTACCGTGTGCCGGCCGTGGTTCCTTTCCGCCGTCCGGGTGTGGAGCACCGGGTTCCGGTTTTCCGTTGGTCCGATAAGCGATGAGCTCCGGGAGGGTCGGCGGGTTTGTCCGAACAAGGATGTAGCGGGGCGGGGCGGGGCTTAGGGCGTCAGGAAGCATCACCCACAGCCAATCACAGCGAGGTTTGCCAAAGACGGCCAATCATACACGGCATGACGTCAGATGGAACGTTGGAAAATGTTAAATTGTTAAACTGATTAATTATGAAGTGAACAATTAGTGTTTGAATAGAAGAAACAGGTTAATTAATTTACTTTATGTATAAAGTATTTTATTAAAATTAAATTACTATAAATTTTTATGGTCAGCAATTAATTGTATTAGACACAATAATTGATTTAAACTAAAAAATGCATAATTTACTATCACTATTACTGTATTATCACTGTAAATAAATACATGACTCGCTTTTTAAATTATTTAACTATATAAAATAAGTCATAATTTCTTATTTAGTGATTATATTACTTATTGGTTGTTACAGCCCCTGACCAACAGGGGGACCTCCACAATTTATTTATTGTTCATAAAAAAAAAAATTGGGACCTGTCAATTACAAAATTAATCATATTGTATTTTCAAAGATTATTTTTAGCAGTAAAGATGTAATAAAGAGCAGACATCCATATTCGCCCTGCAGGAAATGGTTCCTTCCTGCTTGGAGCTGCAGATGTTCAGCAGCAGACAGGAAACCGGGACCGGCTGTGGAGGTCACTATGCTGCTGAGAAAAATAATAAAGTTAGCTTTTCGATTTAAAAACAAGAGAAAGAAAGGGAAGAGTGTCAGTTTTTAACTCAGTTTTTCTCAGAGAGGTGAGTAGACTGTGAAATCATCAACCCTTTAGCATAGTTAGCTTAGCTACAGACTGTTTGCGTCCTTTTCATTAGCATTTAATGAATTAAGGAAAGAAATTAGCAACATATTCATATATTTAACGTGTCCATTGTGCCTTTTAGCACTTAACAGGTGAGTCAGTCAGCAGTGGCTCTCGTCCCTCCTGACCCGTCCTCTCCTGCTGCAGTATGAAACTTTTATTTTAAAAAAGATTTTTTTTTTTCACATACTTGTTAAAACTCATTATGTTGTGACAGAATGGTAGGAGAGATAATCTGTGAAATATCTACTTCCTAAGTGCTAGAAACAACCAGTCAGTGGCAGAAGAGTGTTACTGCTGTCAATCACAATGCATGTGGCTGCTCATCCCTATGCTGCAGCTAGCATAGCCTGTTGTTAAAGCTTACTCTAGTTAGCATAGCTGCCAATGACAGCAGATAAACATTTTTCTGCAATGATAAGTTGTTTCTCCCCCATTAGCATATTTAGCAGTGAGTGAATGAGGTTGATTGACAGCACTAAGATCCTCCTCTTGGTTCTAATTGGATATTTTGGTTGTTTTAGTGCTATTACTCTAGCCAGTAATAGTAGCTCAGGGAGCAGGTGGAGGAGATTGATTGTTTTCACAGATTATCTGTCTCATAACAAAGTGTCACAACATGGTGGCAGCTTTAACAAATAAGGAGAAAACATAAGTTTATTAAAGTGATATACTGCAGCTTGAATAAAATGTAACTACATAGCATTTTTGAGAAGACTGGATAGCTTTGTGTATTTTGCATGTTGCCTATGACTTGCTGGTGGGGAGAGACATTTCAGTAATCTAAAACTAATAGAAAATATTTAAGCAACCTCCTTGCATTCTGGATATGGACTGTTGGATGTGAGAAACCAAAGAAAGCACAGCAGTTGCAAACCTTTAAAATTGTGACACTTTTGATGGTTCAGATATAATCAAAACATTATATCAGCAGCTTCATCGGGGGTCCAATTCAATTTTTTGTCAGGGGGCCCAAGATTCCTGGCAGCGACCCTGGCTTCAGTAATTAACAGCAGTTGAAAGAGGCTTTTATTTTGAAGGGTTAGGTGTGTAGAAGTGTAGCTCAGGCTCAGATGAGAGTCTGAAGGTCATAAATAGGAGGATTTATTGACTGTCATTTAATGTTGCAGTGGTGAGAATCTGTTGATGTAAATCTCAGTTTTACGTCTGAATATTTGCTTTAGATGAAACATTTAGTGATTATCAGATCAACAGTCACACAGAGAGATTTTATTTTGTAAACATCTGGAGTAAAATGTGAGTTGCTCTTTGTACCGCGGCGCCCTCTGCTGGACTCATGGAAACACTGCAACGAGTTGAAAGAGCAAAAATGTTCATAAAACAAAATAAATACAAGGAAAATGAGACTGAGTTTGTGTCTGCAGGTTTCCATGGTGCAGAGGAGACGGCAGATGGTCAGAAAGGATTCCATGTGAAGGACTCACCTCAGTTCACCTGTCAGACCATCTCATACTGGTTGGTGCTGATGAGGTGGGCCAAGCAGCAGGCCAGAGACGTCCCGACCACCTGGGACAGAATCGGGTCACACTGGGTCCAAACATCAGTTACGTGTCAAGGTCAGGGGTCAGTACCTGAGAGAAGGCGATGCCAAACGTCACGCCAGCTATGACAGCCATGTTGTTCTCTATGAAGGACACCACCAGCTCATAGCAGCCCTGCAGAGACACAGAGACGGGTCATTGAACAGTCCATCCATCCATCCATCCGTCCGTACATCCATCCATCCATCCATCTATACATCCATCCATCCATCCATCCTTACATCTATCCATTCATCCATCCATCCATCCATCCATCCATCTATTCATCCATCCATCCATCCTTCCATCTATCCATCCATCCATCTATTCATCCATCCATCCATCTATTCATCCATCCATCCATCTATTCATCCATCCATCCATCCATCCATTCATCTATCCATACATGCATAAACCTCTTAATAGGTAAATGAGAACCAATAGTTTTATCTTTTACTTCTAAAGTTTTCTTGCTACATGAAGTTTTCTGTAATTGTTTCTGCACACATTTCATTGAGGCATGAAAAAGATGAGTTTCATTAATGTGTAAAGAATGCAGTAAAATGTAACTGAGATCAGCATTTCCAACCAACTGAATGACTGAACTGTTGCAGATGTTATCTTCCTGGAGGTTTCAGCCATCGTCAGTCAGAACTCTCCTGGTGTGTATCTGTGACCTCCTGACCTGTCTGTAGACTTTGTGTGCAGCCAGAGTCGCATTCTTCAGTTCAGCTTTGCTGCACTCCACATAGGTAACACAGCAGCTGGCAGGGAAACCGCTGGCAGGAAAATACACACTGCTGAACCAGCTGGTGTAGTTCTGGACTCCACAGCAGTGTAACTGAAGAAACATCCAAAAAGACGCAACGTTTAAAGGCTGATTCTGTTTTTGGTTTCCTGATGAGTAAACTAGTGCATCGTCTGCGTATGGTCTGTTCTGCAGGTTGCCATGGTGAATGTAGAGAGACCATTAATTGATAAATATGAATGCTGCTCTTTCAAAGACAGAGAAGGAAAATAAAAAGATTAAAAACTAGAAACCTGGAAGGTCTGAGTAGAAGCCCTGAGGAACGCTACGACCAGCTAAGGGTTAAACTCTGCTGGACTCACTGTGCGCTGGACGCTGTCCACCGCCATGCTCCTCTCATCGTATCCATTGTACCACATGACGGCCTCAGAGTACGACGTCAGGAAGGTTCCTTTAATCTGGCGACACACAGCCGATCAGATGATTTACCGAGTCAAACGTCTGAAATGAACCAGAATGTTTCAGACCTCATGACGAAAGATGAATCCAGAGATTCCAGCGACGAGTTCGATCATGAACACCAGAGACAGAGAAACAGCATACTGGAAGAGGTCAGGGGTCAAGATGAGACATTCTGCTCCCTGTAATCATGTTCATTTGTTAATCTGTGTCCCTCAGGGTGTAATCTGAAGAGACCTCCCACCAGTTTGAGCATCCAGGGCCGACCCCTGCAGGTGGCGACGCAGCCGAACAGTCCGAACAGGACGATGGCGGCGCCGGTACCGACCAGCGCGTACGGAGCGTTGGTGGGGCTGCTGGAGATCAGCAGCGTGTACGGCCCCAACATGAACTTCCACCACAACCCCACCGACAGCAGGACCACACCTGTCACCTGAGGGGGCGGAGCCAGCGGTCATACTGACGGCCAATCAGCTGCTTGTTTTAAATAAATCATGATTCCTGATCTCAGATCCTGGTTCTGATCCAGACGACAGAACCTGCCTGATTCGGATCAGAACCGGACCAGATGGGCCGAGACACAGGAAGGAGGCGGGTCGTGATTCAGCAGCACATGACTGAGCGAACAGCGGCAGCCAGGTGACAAAGTGACAACCAGACGAGAAGCAGAGCAGCAGCGACGCTAACGGCGCAGATTCACTGACGCAAGGTGAATTTAATAACATTAATGATTCATTTCTGTTCCTCTGCTGGAACAGGAAAAATGTTATAAAGCTCCAAAAACCAGAAAAATTACAATAATTCATATCCAGTCAATGTGGGGAAATGATGAATCGATCCGTCTGTGGCTCAGCAGAGCAGGAGGAAGAAAACAGGAGGAAAAGGTTCTGTGAGCAGCACAAACCGTCCAGACCGGGTCCAAAAGAACCAAATCATTACATTCCTAAAATAATGCACCTGGTTATTTATCCCAAAAGTTATTGGTTTTCTTGCATATGTTAATGTATTAATTTTATCTCTAGTCATAAAGTCAGATTATTTTGTCTTTTCACTTTAACAAAATATAATTATGTGAAACCAGTTGAAAAGAAAAGATATTAAATAAATAATTAGTTTGTCTGATAGAGGTTCTGCTCCTGGCTGCCTCTAGAAACCAGGATCTACCTGCAGAAGGAAAAACGTAAACTCTGCTCCTCTTCCTCAGCCTGCCAGGGGAGGAAGAGGAGGAAGAGGAAGGTCCTCACCCAGAAGATGAAGGAGTAAAGCAGCAGCAGCATCTTCAGGATGAAGATCACTGGTTTGGTCTCCATCCTGCTGGGAGCCATCATCAGTCGGACTTCAACTGGACCCGCTGCTCCTCTTCCTCTGTCTTTGTATGGGCTGAGGAAGGCTCTCTGAGGCGTCAAACGGCGTCCTCTGCTGGAGGAAAATGTAACTGCAACATCCTCAAACGTTACAGGGATTTTTCAGAGTCAGTTCAGTTGTAGTTTGTTTTTAGAGTTTTTACGGAGCGGTTCTGGATCGGTTTGGGTTCTGGGTCAACGCAGATGAACGTGTGAACATCCAAAATGTGTCGGGGTCGGGGTAGTTAGGGGTAGTTGGAGCTGAGACGCCTCACCTCTGTGTGAATTGTGTGGTCATGGTGTGAAGTATGATGGTCACATGGTGCTTCCTCTACAGACCAGCCCTCAGTGGGACAGAAACCAGAGAGAAACCGGGTCATCACTACGGCCCGCGTGATGTTCTGCTGGAGCCGCCACATTAAAGGCTCAGCTGCACTGAGGTCCGGTTCTGACTCTGCTTGATGTTTGCCGCAGGTGGTGTTTGGATGACGGAGCTGTCAGAGCATCCGTCACACAGTCAGACCAACACAGAGGTTCTTGTTCTTTTACAGCCAGATTCGGTCCAGGACGGTCCGATAACCACGGTTTTAAACCAACCGTTGCTGCTCCAGCTTCAGGTCATAACCGGGTTCTACAGAACTGGGCCTCAGAACAACAACCCCAAAGGAACTGGACCTGGTCCTGGACACCAACCAGGTCTGAAAAACACAGCGTCCCAACATCATTTTCTGATGCTAGTCGTTTGAATTTTACAAAGATCCGATCAAAGTTAGAAACACTGCTGAGCAGAACCATGGAGGTTCTGTTGGGTCAGAGGAGGTTCTGTTCTTTAGGTCAGTTAGTATTACATCAATTATTTCTATTTGCTAAAAGCAGAAATTGTAGCTAAAACATCTTTTCATTCTTTCTTCAAACTCAAAAGTTCACATTCAATCAGCAACCAGGTTTTAAATGTTCCTTAAATATTTTTACATAATGATCTTTCCTCAAGTTATGAAGCTCCTGCGGTGAAACAGCCCTCAGCATGATGCTGCCACCACCATACTTCACAGTGTGAAGTATGGTGGTTTCTGTCCCACTGAGGGCTGGTCTGTAGAGGAAGCACCATGTGACCATCATACTTCACACCATGACCACACAATTCACACAGATCATTGTTACATTTCCTCCAAATGTAACAATGATCATTATAAACAAACAGTTTAGTTTCATCAGACCTCCAAAAATGAAACTTTGTCTGTTGACATCTAAACCAACTGATCTGAACTTCACGACTGAACATCAACTAGATCGCCTGGTGACGACACCACATGATGCAGCTGTCAGGAACACCTTATATGGTCACTGAAGATTCTAGTCCTCATGTTTAAAATGTAATTTTAAGCTGTTGTGAGTCTAAAACAGGAAGTGACATCAGTGAGGGGCTGGAAGGAGGATCTTCCTACACCTAAAACTACAGATCTATCATGAATTCATCAAGAAGCCTTTTGTGGTCCAACTGATGTTTTCTCAAACTGCAGCTCCCCCTGCTGGTCAGAATTCAGAATGCAGCTTTTTTCTGACCCGTCTATTGAATGACAACACAGAAACTCAAGCAGGTTTCAAGTTTTATTTTCTCCAGACACAGTCATCGTCATGTAGATCACAGTTGTCCTTACAGTTGGTGAAATTAAAGCAGATTTATTTATTGAAGATTAATATACTTTTATGTATAGGACAGAGATGAGGACATGTTGATATATGTAAGATGATATATGTATATGTAAGATGATATATGTAAGATGATACAGAGAACCTCAAAGGTTCTCTGTATCATCTGAAGTATCCAGATCAGAACCACCAGCAGTTCATCACAACCAGGATGATGAGACGATCACAGTTTTGTCCTCTAAACCCGTACCGACCAGGGCGTGAAGGAACCTGGCTCAGCTGGAGGGCACTGGGAGGAAACCAGCAGAACCAAAGAATCAGGAAGGGTTTTATTTCTGTAGCACTGAAGCATGTTCCTGGAGGTTTTCATACCAGTTTGGTGAATCTGTCACAGCAGGCATTGCGGATCCTCTCTGCAGAGGCCGGGCTGTCCAGCCTAAAGGGTCCCGTCATTTTTGACTCCGCCCGGGCGGCTCTGACCGCGTCTTTGATGGCGTAGAAAACAGACGCTGCCAGGAAGAGCGGAGGTTCGCCCACCGCCTGGTAGAGAGAGAGTCGGTTTAAAATGTCCTGCTCTGCATGAGAGCAGGGATGTTTCTGTCTGCAGGGTCAACAGGAAGTGACATCATTTACCTTGGAGGCAAAGATGGCCTTTTCATTGGGAGCATCTCGGAGCAGAGAGACGGTCAGCTGAGTGGGAATGTCGCCAAAGGCTGGAATCTTGTAGGAACCAGGACCCCGAGTGAGGAGGACCCCCTGTGGGGAGTAATGGAGCTCCTCCAGCGTGAAGAGGCCCAGACCCTGCATGAAGGCCCCCTCTACCTGGAGAACAGGAGAAGATGTAGACCAGACAAGGGATCCAGGTAAACAACGGCAGAGTGTTTGATGTCCTACCTGTCCGATGTCAATGGCTGGATTCAAACTGTGGCCTACGTCCATCACTATAGTGGTGCTCAAGTTCTGCCACACAAAATGATGAGAAATGTCCAAAAGACTTCCCTTTAGCAGGTTGAAAGAAATCTGAGGGTTAAAGAATGAAGACAGTACAGACCTTGTGAGCTCCAGTCAGACAGTCTACCTCCACCTCTGAACAAGCCACTCCGTAGCTGTAGTAGTTGAAGGCTCTGCCTGAGTTGGTGTCAAAGTCATAGCCCAGATCTGGAGTCCTAACGAAGCAAGGAAACCGTTCTAGTTTGGTTGAACTTAAGTCAAAGCAGTGACTGAACTTGAAAGCTCACTTGTAGAAGCCGTTGGCACTGAGGTTGACTCTGTCGAAGTAAGCAGCATTCACCTAGAAAACACAAACCAACATTGGGATATTTAAGATGATGTTGGGTTAATGTAGACTAAAGAAAAAGAAACAACAAGACCGTGTGACTTATTGGTTCTTCTCACCCAGTCCTCCCAGGATCCTTTGGGATTCTTGGTCTTAAACCGCTCCAGGCGCTCCAGCAGAGTCTCACAGGCATTCTGAACGGCCGCCCCGTTGAGGTCGGAGGACGAGGACGCAGCGGTGGCGCTGGTGTTGGGCACCGTGTTGGTGCTGGTCTCTGAGATGAAAATCTTTGAACAGGGAATACCCAGAACCCTGCTGGCAACCTGGAGGCAGTTCAGATGCACATGATGCTGAACTTATTTTCTTGCTTATTTTAATACAGCACCTTTATACAGTAATTTATGCTTCCAGAAAGCTGCTGCTTTTTGATGACCATGAGGCGGGGCAGTTCCTTCTTCAATAAGGTAAAATCAGCAGCTGAAGATGTGATGATAATTTAAAGAGGGTTGTGTGTTAACAAGCTGCTTTTACAGTTCTCCACCTGGACCATCTTGGTGTGAAGACCCTGTCCCATCTCTGTCCCTCCATGAGTCAACAACACAGAGCCGTCTCTGTAGATGTGGACGAGAGCACCAGCCTAAAGACAAAGAACACAGTAGGTCAAACTTATTCACAAAAAAACTCCTTAGACTCCTCAAAAGCTGCTTGACCCGCAGCAGATCACAGCCCAGTAGAGCGAACCTGGTTGAGGAAGGTGGCTGTAAAGCTGATGCCAAACTTAGTGGGAACGATCGCAAGTCCTCGTTTAGTCCATCGGTTCTGTCTGAAACACAAAAACCTTTTTCTGCACTTTATTTTCTTCTGAGGTAAAGGAAGTCAAAGCCAGTCAGAATTATCCATCAGTCTAGTTGTTGTCAGTTTGAAGCTAAACGTTTCCTTCAGATTCATTAGGTTTACCTGTTAAAGAGATCCGCTGCAGCTCGTCGCTGCTTGTATTCAGACCGTGAAAGA